CGTGTTTCCTGTTCACCTCTTCAGATATCAAGTGTGTCCCATCGTTTTCAGGAAATGCCCAGGCACTTGAGCTCTTTACATACACTTGTGCATTTTGCGTCTCACGTCAGCCAAAGTGTGTAGTATCTCAGTGTGCTTGCACTTAGGTGGGGTAAATGGGGAGGAGCCCACCAAACCCAAACCTATGCTTGGTAGTTCAGCGACTGAACCGTATTGTGAAAACAGTGTTCCCTAGGGGACGAGGAGGGTGCTGAGTGAGGGAGCCAGGGAGGACACAGCAACACAGGCATGAGATATATACACATTTATTCATTATGCTGCATATTCTAATAGACTTAATGGGGGACGATGCTGTTCCATTTTTACAGAGATGTTGAAACATACATGTACCATAACAGAGTGTGGTCGCATAATTGTACAGACTACTACATGCAAACAAAGATGCTGATGTGTTCAGAAACAGTCTTCAGCTGAGAGAACTTTCTAGGAGCTTGTGGCGGGAACACGAGACCGTCTGATGCAGCAGATATGTGGACAGCTTGGAAAGTCGCTATGACTCAAACATGATCGACACACATCCCTCCTTCCCTCGAAAGAAAAGACAATAGTAGCTTAAGGTTTCATAGACTCTGGATGATATGACACGACTCTATGTTACTCTTCAGTCCTGTTAGTTCAGTTACAAAATCGACGATGATACTCAAAAACCAGACGTCCTGTTGATGTAGCTACGTCATGAGGAGGATTTCTGAACTGAACAGATCGAGGGCAGAATGGCAATGAAAGAAAGCAAATCACAATTTCCTGTAAAAGTGGATGAAATTATCATTTTGATAGTGAGAGATGTGGAAATGCCGTATGTGGGGACACAAGGGAAGCTGACCCTTAGCAGGCCGGCCATATGACAGATAGAAAGGAAGCAAACAGAGATCTCAGGGTTGGCCTTTAGGGGGCGCTCACTCTGCCGGGAAGCTCTGTGCTCCGGACTCTCAGCTGCCGTCTCACGTGAGGACAGCGCTGTACGTCTACCCGCTGTAGATACTGACCAGTGTGATGCCCACCCCCACCACAGCCCCCTGTCCTTATGTGCCTTGTAGGGTTTCTCATGGGTTTCCGGAACATTCTCCAGGGACTTAGCCTCTGTCCTCCCAGTCGCCCTTACAGTAGTACAGAAACAACAGCAACAACAGCAACAGAATGATAACTAGCCGCCGTTATCTGTAAATGAGAAATAAAACTACGGTATGCTAACAAAACACGTGTGTGTTATACAAAACCTGAGAACTCAATAATATTACTTGTAGCTATTACTTAAAGACCTGATTTATCCCTATAAAAAATTAGAATTTTCTGTACAATACTATATGAACAAAGCTGGACAACTTCACCTTCTCATAAATAAGCGTTTATGAAAAGGCACGCGTAATTTCAACTGCCAGACGGGAGGAAATCGTGGTCATGCTTTTGGTTTAGAAAAAATATAATCATTCTCAATATTAATTAATTCACAAAAAAACATAGAATTCTTCATTTGTGGCAATCTCAGATAATGTGATTCTAATGAAAAGATGACCTATTTCATTCCTTGTGATTTATAAAAGCCTGCCACCCCACCCCCCCCGCACC